CATTTCTCATGTCTCTGCCTCTCCTCTTTTCTTCCGCCTCTCCCTGGCTCCCCTCCTCACTCCAGGTGAACAAGACCTTCCAGGAACTGGCTGTGTTTCATGACATAAAAGGCATGTGGGAAGAGCTTAGCCCCAAGATCTGGACCTTCATGGAGAGCAGCCCAGAAATGGACCTTGTCCGGGTGAGTGTCCTTCTGATGACCATGTGCCTGCTTGATGCTAGAGAGGCGAGTTTCTAGTCACTTACCCAGAAGTGGCTTAGATGAGAATTCTTTACCTTTAACTTGTGTAGACGTATTGAGCTGAGCTCAAGCCACAGGGCTGTCACCTTTGTAGAGCTGCAGGTGATGAGCACAGGTAACCCTGTTTCTTGCACATCAGCATCCATGCGTCTGGCGCTCAAACATCAGTTTTCTAAGAAACTGAGGGCTGGTGTTTGGAGCGAGCGTTTGGTGATTGCAGGACCCTGGCTGTTTTCATTTCTGGCTCTAGAGCCAGCTTGGACATGGGTGCGGGAGCAAAGGGCTACTCTGACCCATAGACAGGTGCGAGAGACCTGCTCCGAGGAGCCACCATTACCGCATGGAGGCTAATTGCACTCAGTGCTTCCGCTTCACTTGAAAGGGATTAGTGCTCTGGAGACAATTGGATTCAAAAGCAGAGGAGTCTGAGCAAGAACAGAATGTCTCCTCCGCCCGAGCCCGAGTGCCATTTAATCACATCATCCCTGCCTTGGGCTGAGCCAGGATCATCAGGCTGTTTTCTATCTCCACGGACTGGAGGCGCTTCCTTTCGTGTCTGCTGCCATTAAGAAGCAGGGATGGATTTTGCCAGGTTTCTTGTCTTGACACCTCATTGATCAGAGAGGCAGCTGGGTTTGAGAGCTGATACCTATCTCAGGCATAGGACTGTCCCCAGATGCCCTGGGAGGGGCAGTACCCAGGGGGCCTTCCCCTGATGGCAAAGCTGGAATCATCTTTGTTGTGCTGGTCTTGTTATCTATGCAGAATTCTTAACTTGGGGCCTTTCCAAAACCAAGGGACTTTAGTGAGAAAAACATGAACAACAGTTTTTATGGGTTTACTGAATAATTCCTGACTCATAATAGTCACAACGCACACCCTTCAAGTATGGTTCTCAGTTGGGCTCCAGTCTCTTCTCTGTGAAGGGATTCCGTGCCCAGCCATGCACAGTGACTGGACCTTGTGTGATCCCAGGCCTCTTCTCCCTGGTTCCCTTCCCGGTCCCCCCCTTGGAACCTGCACTTCTCCCTGTTGGATTTCTCTCCTCCCGAGTCTCGGAGGATCCCACGAGTGGGAAGGGATTCCGTGAGTTTGGGTCTGGAGGCAGGTAGATGCTTTCCCTGCTCTTAAATGGAGAGTTTGGCCTGGATGTTCTAGCAGCTCCCAGGCTCCCAGTTCTTTGGGACAAAGCCTTGTACACGTCGCTGTGGCATTCATTAGGGATCCTGTGGGAGGCCCCAGGATGTGCAGGAGGGATGTGGGAGCTGTGGCTGGGGAGAAGGCATGGCCTGTGGTTTGAGGGACCGTGACTTTAGCTCCAGGGACCATGACAGGGCTTGAAGCAAGGGGAGATGTAGATGTCGTACTCCAATGTGACAAGTGGATTAAAGAGGGGGATGATGGTGGCAGAGACCAGGATGGAGGCCAGCCAAGTGGACAGCCAGGGCCAGCAGGAGGTGAAGCCTGAGGGCTGCTTGAATGGAGAGGGTGAAGGACAGGGAGGCGTGAGGAGGATTTTTGACTTCTGGCTGGTGGATGGTGGGGCTGTCCATTAGGCTGACAGATATTGGGGCCTGGAGAGCAGGGGTGGTTAGTCTGGAAACTGACTAGGGACTGATCAGCCTGTGGGTGGAAATTGAAGGAGCCTCCTCGGACTTTCCTTTCTCTAGGAAGGAATGTTTGTTTCACACTGCAAGCTTGGGCTTCTCCTACTCTGTACCCCCTACAGCCTCATGGAGTCTGGCACATCAGGCACTGCCTGAGGTCTCTGCTGTTGTTGGCGTAGTTCTTTTCCTTCTTTTGCTGTTTCCCTCTTTCTCTCTGTCTCTCTCCCCCTTCTCTCTTTCCCTCCTTCCTGTCCTCCCTTCTTTCTTTCAGCTTTTATTGAGGTCTATTGACAAGCAAAAATTATATATAAAGTGAACAACTTGATGTTTTGATATACATTTACATTGTAAAATGATCACCACAATCGGTAGCATATGCATCATCTCATGTAGTGATTGCTTAGCAAATTTCAAGTGGAGAGTATGTATGGTTGGTATAGGGCAGTGATGGTGAACCTATGACACGCATGTCAGAGGTGACACGTGAACTCATTTTTTTGGTTGATTTTTCTTTGTTAAATGGCATTTAAATATATAAAATAAATATCAAAAACATAAGTCTTTGTTTTACAATGGTTGCAAATATCAAAACATTTCTATATGTGACACGGCACCAGAGTTAAGTTAGGGTTTTTCAAAATGCTGACACACCGAGCTCAAAGGGTTCGCCATCACTGGTATAGGGTGTACCTTTGAACTCAGATTGCATAGCTGGAACTTTGTACGCTTTGATCTCCCCATCTCCCCCACCCCAGCCCCTGGCAACCACCATTCTGCTCTGTGATAGCTCTTATCTCTCTGCTGTCTGTGGCTCTGTCTACACCCATTGCATTACCCCACAGATCCAGACTCACTTCTCTGTTGCATCAGGGACCCTACCGATACTAAACTGTTCTCCTTTTTAGCTGCTTTTTGGCACCTTCATCTCAAGACCCTGCTTTCTCCCTGGCTACCACTCCTCAGGGTGAAATTAGGTCTCCTGGCCCCCTCATGTACCCTAAAATGGCCATGTGGCCAGGGATTGCACTGGGCTCATCTTTCTAGTCTTGCTTCCTTGGCAGTCCTGTTCAAACTCCACACTGGGCAGGGCAGGTCTCACCCTAGACACCACATGTCTTCACTCAGCCCGCATTCGTTCCGTTCAAGTCTCCGAATAAAGTTGTTTCACAATTTGTGATGTACAATTTTGCATCAATTTATTTTAACAAAAATACATATATTACTGACGACAGTATAAATTGTTATTCTCTATTGGAAAGCAATTTGGGATGAAAATTGCGAGAACCATAAAAAATGTGCTATCCTGTGTACCTCCATTCCACATACCCTCAGGGATATATCCTATAGACATAATTTTAAAAAGAAGAAGTCACTGTAAGACAGAAAATGTTATTGCTATAATAATTGTTATTGTGGGAAATTAGAAATAGGCTAAACGCTTAGCAGCATGAAAACAGTCAGTGAAATTATAGTAAATATAATCTATGAAATCATTATGCTTCCATTAAAATAGTAAATATGAAGCCACGTGGGGAAAACAGCTCATGTTAGTGGAAATGAGACTGATTTAAGAAGTAGCCATCCCCAGCTGGTGTGGTTTAGTGGTTGAGCATCGACCTATGAACCAGGAGATCACGGTTCAATTCCCTGTCAAGGCACATGCTTGGGTTGCGGGCTTGATCCCCCATAGGAGGTGTGCCGAGGCAGCTAATCAATGATTCTCTCTCATCATTGATGTTTCAATCTCTCTCTCCCTCTTCTTTCTTCTCTGAAATCAATAAAAATGTATTTTTTTTTAAAGTAAGAAAGGAGCTGTCGGTTGAGCACCAAATTAGGTTTTACTGTTTTTCCACATTGAGACCCACGTTGAGGGCCAACCAGCTAGGGAGCAAGAAATGGAAGTTAGGCTTCCTTTGCATCATGACCCATGTGTCTTGCAGTTGGGAAAGATCCTATTTTACTTGGTTTAATAAGGGTATTATTTTCCCAAACTAAACAGCCAAAAGTGTGTTTGTCTTCATTCAGACTAGAGATATGGTCTATATGAGAAGTCATCAGATAGGGTCTCAAGAGAGGAAAGTAATTCAATGCAGTGGGAAGGTGCAGTAGAATCAGAGAGCCCGTGTTTCGTATTCTGACTTTGCTAAACTTTGCTACTTATTAGGGACCTTATGTTAAGGACTTGATGGCTCTAAATGTAGGTTTTCCCATCTGTAAAATTGAAGCTATTAAAGATACCTTCATCATGGAGTTGCGTGAGGTAAAGCAGATAAATAATTCAGTATAGTAACTGTGCAGAGTAAGGGTGATTACTGTTGTTGCTGTAGTTACTTACTGCTAAGCTAGGTTGTTCGGTACAGTGGAAAACATAGGGACTCTGCATTCGCACTGGTCTGGCTTTGAGTCTCAGCTCCATGGCTATTAGCACTGTGACTCGGTCTTGGTTAACATCATATTCACTTATTGCTCAACCCCAACATTCTCATCTTTAAAACGGGGACACTGTTATTTAACTCGCAGTTTGCTGTGAAGATAAATGAAGGGGACCACGTACGCGAAGGGTTTTGTAATGTTTGCTGCTTGTGATTTCCCATTGAAATGGCAGACACTCCTGAACAGCAGGGGCAATGACCACTTCTGGAAACAGCGCCTGGCCGGCTTAGACTGGACAGCCGAAGATATCGTGGCGTTTCTGGCCAAGTCCCCAGAGGACGTGCAGTCAGAGAACGGCTCCGTGTACACCTGGAGAGAGGCTTTCAATGAGACCAACGGGGCGGTCCAGACCATCGGGCGCTTCATGGAGGTGAGGCTCTGTTCTGTGGAGCGTTTAGAAAAGGCCATGCCGTGGTTTTCCCCGCTGAGATGGTGCAGTCAGTCAGATTGGAGGGATGCTGTGGAATAATGTACAGGCTTATTTACAGTAGTGTCCTCAAACCTAACATAGGACTTGGTGTACAAAAGGCACTCAGTAAATGTCAGCTGAATGATCAAATATGTAAATAAACAAGTCTAACGCGAGCATTTTTTCTGTCTGACCTAAGAGTGTTTCTATGAAATTTATCTGAAATCTAATCAGACAGATTACATTTCTAAAAATGTAGTCTCTTAAAAATGATGTCACTTAAGAGGGACACGTTTATTTATTTGGTTAGTTGTTAATGTCTCAAAATTGCTAAGAAAACAGAGAGGAAAAGGAGGCATGGTCATTGTTTGAACCTCTTTCCCACACAAAAGTCAGTTAAGTAACTTATCTCTAAATTTCAGTTAAGAAATATGACCCATTTTCAGTTGCATATTGGAAAATGACTCGAGGGGAGATCTGTAGAGTGAAGATAGAAAAGCCACACAGCCTTTTGCTCTCAGGGTCAGGTCTGCCTGGGCCACTGCTTGCTTTTCTGGCCACCAGACTTCTCATGAAGGCTGTTCTTCCTTCAGTGTGTCAACCTGAACAAGGTGGAACCGATCGCAACAGAGGTTTGGCTCATCAACAAGTCCATGGAGCTGCTGGATGAGAGGAAGTTCTGGGCTGGAATCGTGTTCACCGGGATTGCCCCCGACAGTGTCGAGTTGCCCCATCACGTCAAGTACAAGATCCGCATGGACATTGACAATGTGGAGAGGACGAATAAGATCAAAGATGGGTGAGTGGAGTCCCATCACACCAGTCAGCCCTGGGGAAGTCAAGAGCAGCTAAGATAACTAGGGGTTCTTACTTTTATTGACTAATTTGTTAGAAACTTAAACGGGTGGCATAATTTTGGTGCAGTGGCCACATTTCTGGATGGAGACAGTTATTTCAAAGGTAATAAAATATCTTTTTTTAGAAAATATTATTATCTTTTCATTTAGCATTCTCAATCAAGGGAATTAATCCCAAGGAATTAAATCAATGGGAACAAAAAGGAGAAAAAAAGACTCTGGGTTCCCCATGTTAGCCTTATCCTTTTTTACAAAAAGGGGCAAATAATCAATATGGAAGGGAGTGGTCAGGTAAATTGTGGTATGTCTACTAGATGCGATGTTAGGTATTCAGTGGAGGGGGAAACAAGCTAAGTGGTATGTTCTTTCTGGTGTCTATTTAAAAATATGTGTACATGTCAACTGACACCAGAAGGTAAGATGCAAACATAAAAACAGTGGCTGGGAGCGGTGATGGGATTGTGGGTGATTGGGTTTTTATTGTGTGGTTCTGTGAAATGTTTGATCACCTGTGTCTCGGTTTCAGGTACTGGGACCCTGGTCCTCGGGCGGACCCCTTTGAGGACATGCGGTACGTCTGGGGGGGCTTCGCCTACCTGCAGGATGTGGTGGAACAGGCGATCATCCGGGTGCTGACGGGCACCGAGAAGAAAACCGGGGTCTACGTGCAGCAGATGCCCTACCCCTGTTACGTTGATGACATGTAAGTCACCAGGAAGCCACCTTCTTTATTTAGCGAGCGGACACTGTCCCCAGGTGGCGTGTAGACACGCACACACCCAGGGAGGAGACAGAGCGCTTTGATTTTATTTATTTTATGTGGGTGTTGATACTGGTCATAAGTTGTTTTTGAAATTCTGTGAAGATCTCAGGAAATGAGATACCAGATGTAGGTAGTTGACAGTTTGAGTCACATCAGAGATACGGACATGTGCACACACTGTCGATCCTCCTTCCCTTCTCGTCCACAATTACCAGGACTTTTTTTTTTACACTCTACTCTTTTGAACCTCTTTCCTGCACAAAAGTCAGTTAAGTAACTTATCTCTAAAAGTTCCCAATCTGCACGTTTAAAATGTTACGACAAACACATAAACACTTTCCCCAAACACAGGGACAGCGTTCCAGACCTAGAAAAGCTCACTGTGTGCAAACATATGTACTTCTTCTCCATAATGGATAAACCATATTTTGAATCAACCCAAGTAAAATTGAACAAGGCCTTTTTATCTTAGACTTTTAAGATAATCTTTTAGTGCTTAGTTACTGTGCTGCCAACTTCTCATGGTGGGAGCTGGGCCTTTGGATCTAATGCTTTCTTGTGAGAGAGCATGGGGAGAAGTATAATCACCTCCGGCATCTGAAATAGGTGATGCCTCTTCCCAACTGGAAAGTGTCTGCGCTCTTTTGCTGCTGGTGTGTGTGTGTGTGTGTGTGTGTGTAGAGATCAGAGTGCGGAAGGAGCAGGGTGCCTCTCCCTGTGTTTGCTCTCTGCTCTCTGCTTTGCACTGGGCAATTGTCTCTCCTTGTGTGGCTCACTCTAGCTTTGCCATGTCACCCAGAACTATCTTGCTTCTTATTTCCTGAAAGATGAGGCAGAACTTCCCGAAGGAAGACTTTCCCAAAGAGCCCCTCAGCCCAGATTCACTCTAGAAAGGATGTCTTACGATGAGGATGCTGCGAGTCGAGGCAGTAAGAGCCTTGCTGTTGGCTCGCAGCAGTGCGTGCAGAAGGGGTAAAGCTGGGCCTTGGACCTCGATTTTCAGGGACCAGATTCTGTGTCCCATTTGCTTCACTGCATTTCCTGTTCCCGTTTGGAAATACCCCTGACAAGAGCTGCCTGATGTGTGTTTCTGCACCATCTGTCATATTGGTCGTGCAAGGCAAGTCAGTAGTGCGATGAGATGACCTTGGAGATGTTGAACTTTCATGAGAGAATGAGTTTGGGGGTTTTTTGTTTTGTTTTGTTTTAGTCATTTAAAACCACCCATATTTAGCTTAATGACATCCCAGAGTTACCTAGTTACTAAAGCAGGCCCCCAGAGAAGTTTATTTTGGCAATACGTTGTTGGTCTGATTTTTATCGCTACATTGCACTGCTCATGCTATGAGCTCTCTGTGTGTCCGGGTGCAGAGGACCTGCCATCTTTGGCTCAGTCATGGTGCTTTCTCTTGCATGCAGGCCTGGAGGCGTTGGCCCATGAGTCTGGCTCACACTTGTCTTTAATTCTCCCCCCTCCCTTCCCTGGGGCCTCAGCTTCCTGCGGGTGATGAGCCGGTCCATGCCTCTCTTCATGACACTGGCTTGGATCTACTCGGTGGCTGTGATCATCAAGGGCATCGTGTACGAGAAGGAGGCGCGGCTGAAGGAGACCATGCGTATCATGGGCCTGGATAATGGCATCCTCTGGTTCAGCTGGTTCATCAGCAGCCTCATCCCTCTGCTCGTGAGCGCCAGCCTGCTGGTGGTCATCCTGAAAGTAAGGCTGCCCCCTGGCTCCTCCCAGCATGGGCTGCGTGAGGGGGAGAAAAGCAAATATTCTTTGGGAGGGAAGGGGTCAGACATGCCATCTCCTGCAATGCCCCCAATTTAAAGTTGGGAAAAGTGAGGCCCCGGGAGGGACAAGGACTTTCCCAAGGTCAGCCTAGCTGGGTAGCAGCTAAGCAGGATTACAGCTCAGGGCGCTTGCTTCCCAGGTAAGCACACACTTACCTTGTGCCATGCTGTCTGCTGGGCAGAGGTTCATGGCAGCATCTGGAAGCTGGTCATTGCCTTACTCGTATTGGGCGGTGCTTCCTGGAATATCTAGAGCAGTGGTTCTCAACCTTCCTAATGCCGAGGCCCTTTAATACAGTTCCTCATGTTGTGGTGACCCCCAACCATAAAATTATTTTCGTTGCTACTTCATAAATGTAATTTTGCTACTGTTATGAATCGTAATGTAAATATCTGATATGCAGGATGTATTTTCATTGTTACAAATTGATCATAATTAAAGCATAGTGATTAATCACAAAACAATATGTAATTATATGTGTGTTTTCCGATGGTCTTAGGCGACCCCTGTGAAAGGGTCGTTCGACCCCCAAAGGGGTCTCGACCCACAGGTTGAGAACCGCTGATCTAGAAGGACACATGGTTACAGGTTAGGTTTCCTGGAAGCAGAGGCTGGAACAGCTTGGCATATGAATATTTATTAGGGATCAGTGTCTCTGGGGAGGATGCTGGACTGGGCAAAGGAAGCAATTGAACGGCAATGCAAGGCAACCCCATGGGCACTGGGAGCCTATATGCTTGTCAGAGTTGTCCCTCATGGAGCTGAAATGTCCAGCTCTTTAGGTTCCCCAAGGCCTCCCTCCCTGGCATCCCCTGCCCAGGCCCCTCAGCCAGTCCTTGAATGTGTGTGTTCCCCAGGGCCAGGTGCTCTCTGCAGCGGTAACAGACCCATAGAATTTGGTACCTGGAGGCTGTCTCCTGACAGCTGGACAGGTCCCTCCAGAAGGGGACTGTAGGCACAGTTCTCTGTCCACCACATACATTAATAAGTTTGTAGGCCAGTTTTCTTTCTCCACAATCATTTCCGTTAAGGACCCATCTGATAAAAATAAATGTTTTTAAAGAGGGAGGAGTGCAGTGGCATAGGAACCAACATTCAGTGTCATACTAGTTACTGTTCATTACAAATGCGCACTTACTGATTGCCCAGCACTGTTTAAATCTTATCACTGGTGCCGTCTTAGTATATCCTCACTAAATAACCCACCAAACGTACGAGGAAATGAGACCAAGGAGGGTTAAGGACTTCACTGAGGTCATCTGACCCTGTGGCAGAGCAGTTCTTGCTAAAAGCAAACCCCTCTCATGCTCTGGTGCCTGACTGTGAGGGACGGAGCTCTGTGGTGGGTGTGGGGGTCCTGTACCAGGTGCATGGGAGCTACTCCGGGACTACTGCATGCTGGCAGGTCCTGCTCAGATACACCCAACTCCTGCAGATAAACGTAAAGGTCCACTGAGTTCAGGTGACTATGGGAGTGTGGGATCCATGGCCGGTTGTCAAGGGGGATGTTACGATTGCCTGGCCATTTTCCTTGGCTGTTGGAGTGGGAAGTCGTGTGGGTTGCCGTCTCTTTCACAACTCTCTCTCTCTCTCTCTTTTTTATATTTATTTATTGATTTCAGAGAGGAAGGAAGAGGGAGAGAGATAGAAACATCAGTGATATGAGAGAATCATTGATTGGCTGCCTCCTGCATGCCCCCTACTGGGGATCAAGCCCGCAACCTGGGCATGTGCCCTTGGCCGGAATTGAACCTGGGACCCTTCAGTCCACAGGCCGATGCTCTATCCACTGAGCCAAACTGGCTAGGGCTCAACTCTCGGCGCCAGTAGTCGTAGTCATTTAAAAGAAAAGCCAGGTCAGATTGCTTTGAGAAACAAAGAACAAAATTGTTGAGATAAACCTTGATGAGTGTCAACCCTGGACTCTGTTCTGGTCCTGACTTACCACTATTTTGCTGTGTGGTCCTGGGTTAGTCATTTCCCTTCTCTAGGCTTTGGTTTCTTCATCAGAAAAACAAACAGCACCGTTCCTCAGTATCGTCTCTAAGAGGAGAAGGAATGAGCCCTGCTTCGTCCCGCAGATCGTGCGAGGATGTGCTTGCTGGTTGAAGAGGCAGCACGTTTATTGGGTCTCTTCCTTTCCAGTTGGGAAACCTGCTGCCCTACAGCGACCCCAGCGTGGTGTTTGTCTTTCTGTCCGTGTTCGCCGTGGTGACCATCCTGCAGTGCTTCCTCATCAGCACGCTCTTCTCCCGGGCCAACCTGGCGGCAGCCTGCGGGGGCATCATCTACTTCATGCTGTACCTGCCCTACGTCCTGTGTGTGGCCTGGCAGGACTACGTGGGCTTCACGCTCAAGATCTTCGCGGTGAGTGACCCTGGCCTCTCTGTGGTCGCCGCTGTCCCAGCCGCCCCTGGGCTTCTCCTCTGCTGCAGTCCAGGCTGAGAGAGTCTCCAGTGGGATGGGCTGAGAAGCTCAGAGCTAGATTCTAAACTGCTTGAAGGCAGGGGCTGCGCCTCATGAAATTGTTTACCGTTAGTCCTCTCAGTGAATCGAATGGTCGAATTGAATCAGATGGAATTTTTCAGAGCCAGGCTGTACCATCCACCTAGCTGTGGGTAAATGGCAGCGGGGGGCCCCTTTAGACAGTAGATGCCGTTTCCACCTTTTGTCTCCACCCCCACGTGAGCTCACCCTAAGTCACAGCTACAGATAGAACTGAAACCTCTTGAGGTCACAGTTGGCTCCTTCTTGACCCTGTGCTCCTTGTGTCCAGCATGGGTTTCACTTGAGTAACGTTTTCTGAACTGAAAAAACTGAGGAGCAGGTGCCCCATCTCCCCACGGACCTCTGCCCTCAACACTTCCCTCCCTTGTCCACGGGAGGAGGGGCCTGCAACCGTGTGTAAGCCCATGTAAGGGTGAGTTGCCAGCTGTCCCCCGGATCACTTCCAAAAGTCACCTCCGGGTGCCTCAGTTTGGACCCTTAAATATCAGGGGCCCCAGGCAGGCTGCTCTGACAGGAGCCATCACTGCTGAGCAGAGGGCTCTGGAGGATCTTGATGATGTATGAGTGTATGTGTGGGGTGCAGGAATGTTGAGCCCTTGGGGCATCTTTGGGAGCATAAAATTCTAAAAGTTTTACACTTCATCATATTCCGTTTCCGAAATGTGTGTGCATAATGAGTGGCTATAAATAGAATCATTTTATATGCTGTCAAGGAGCCCACTCCCCCAGAGGGACCCTGTAGATGACTACTTCCATGTCTTGTAATTGATCCATTTTGCACATTCAGATGTCTCCAGGTGAAATTTACATTGGAAGTGTTAGGAAAAAGAGACAGGAGATGGATAAGTGACTTTCGCCTCTTTCTCTCAGAGCCTGCTCTCCCCCGTGGCTTTCGGGTTTGGCTGTGAGTACTTTGCCCTTTTCGAGGAGCAGGGCATTGGGGTGCAGTGGGACAACCTCTTCGAGAGCCCCGTGGAGGAAGATGGTTTCAACCTCACCACCTCGGTCTCTATGATGCTGTTTGACGCCTTCCTCTATGGGGTGATGACGTGGTACATCGAGGCTGTCTTCCCAGGTACGCCAAGTTTCTGCCCTGCTTTAGCCATCTGCTAGGGAAATGTGACTTGTAAGTACAGAGCTTGTCTCCGTTGTTGCTGGGACTTCTGCAGGGCCAGGGGCTCCCTGGAAAGTGGCTACGGCTTTAGACCTATGGCAAACACACAGACCAAGGAGAAGCAGCTGATGTTAAAAGTACAACTCTTACTACCGATAAAGCCCTTTTTCTTTTTTTAAATTATATGTTTACTGATTTCAGAGAGGAAGGGAGAGAGAGAGAGAGAGAGAAACATCAATGATGAGAGAGATCATTGATTGACTGCCTCCTGCACGCGCCCCCCCCCCCCCCCCACCACACACACACACACACTGGGGATTGAGCCTGCAACTTGGGCATGTGCCCTGACCGGGAATCAAACCATGTCCTCCTGGTTCATAGGTCGATGCTCAACCACTGAGCCATGCTGGCCGGCTAGCCCTATTTCTTGAGCTCTCTGTGCCAGGCACTGTCCAAAGTGTTTTATATACTTTGGTTCTATTAAAATACTCATAAGACTGCAATGAAGAAGTTACTGTTATAACCAGTGTTTGCAAATGATAAAACTGTGACTCAGAGAAGTTAAATAATTGCCTGTAGCCACACAGCTGGTAAGTGTCAGTGCTTGGAGGTGAACCCAGTTGGGTTACCCTGGGTCAGCTGGCCCAGGAGATTGCTCCCAGAGCTGACCCAATTCTCTCATCTGCATCCCCAGAATTACCACTGGTGGAGGCTCTGTTTCCTCAGCACAGCTTGTGAATAACAAATACATTGGCTCCAAGCC